TCCTCGCTCTAATTGGGCACACAATGGTGAGTTGTTAAAAATTGTACTATCATGTACAGAACCTGGCTATCTTGTAATGATATTTCTTATGTGCAATTTCGCATCACATCCCATTTGCACATTTAAGAAGTAACCTTTTCTATTTCGGTAACTTTCAGATTGAGCTCTCCCTACAAAGATATTTAATAACAATGAGTGTATGTATATAACATATATAATAATATAAATGATAATATAGGAGTATAAATATAGCTCATGATAAAAATAGGTACCTAGATAATTAATTTTAATGTGCGTACAGTCTACAGTCAGTAGCACCTATCACTCTTGGAAATCCAGCAATTGCATAAAAGTTTATGCAATTTTATGCAATTGCTGGATTCAAACGTCTACAGGTAAGACGTTTCTCAGCAATTTTATAAAAAGAGATCTCCTACTCGCAATTTTTTCTGTAACTCTGTGCACGATCCGACGCACAGACCGTTGCCCAATGTGGAATATGTCCCATATAACTCGGTGATAACTGCTTGTGGCGTAATACCGAAGGGTTATCGATATTTGATCCACGGGCTGCAAAGATCTATTTCTTTTCGTCAATGGTTTTATCGTGCTTCCGAATACAGAATCTAAACACAACACCGTTTCTTTAGAAACACGGAACCGCACACGAAATTCTTTGTCGTCATATTTTTCGAAAGCGTTAAGCTTGATATCATTTTTTCGACTTCCTAAAGGCGTTTCGTTGTCCGAAAGAAAAGTTAACGACGAAACGGACATATTTAAAACTTGAAAAATACATTTAACAATTTGAGAGTCCTCGCTACCACACTCAATAATAACGAGTACTTAAATCAATTTGACATTTGATTTGACAGCTAAAACGCGTTGACTGATGTTTCAGTATACCATTTTTTAGTTGAGTAGTGTTTAGTGTTTTCGAAGTGTTGAAGTGCTTGTACAGTAGGGCTACGATGGCTATCCGAGTACAGAACCAGAGTACGAAACCTATCCAATTGCAGAGAGGTGTAAGACAGGGTGACGTCATATCCCCGAAACTTCACCGCTGCATTGGAAGACGTTTTCAAGCTTCTGGACTGGAAAGGATACGGTATCAACATCAATGGCGAGTACATCACTCACCTTCGATTTGCCGACGATATAGTCCTTATGGCAGAATCGCTGGAGGACCTAAGCACTATGCTCAATGACCTCAATAGTGTTTCCCAACGGATAGGTCTTAAGATGAACATGGACAAAACTAAGATTATGTTTAATGTCCATGTCACACCTATGCCGATAGTTGTTGGGAACACTAAGCTCGAAGTTGTTGACGAGTATGTTTACCTGGGACAAATAGTCCGACTGGGTAAGTCCAACTTCGACCGAGAGGTCAATCGACGGATTCAACTCGGCTGGGCAGCGTTCGGGAAGCTACGACACATCTTCTCGTCAGACATACTTCAAAACCTTAAAACGAAATTGTACAACCAGTGCGTGTTGCCAGTGATGACTTACGGAACTGAGACGTGGTCCTTCACTGCTGGCCGTATGAGGAAGCTCAAGGTCGCTCAGCGAGCTATGGAGAGGGCTATGCTCGGAGTTTCTCTGCGTGATAAACTTAGGAATGAGGATATCCGCAGTAGAACCAGAGTGACCGACATAGCCCAACGGATTAGTAAGCTGAAGTGGCAGTGGGCCGGCCATATAGCTCGAAGAACCGACAACCGATGGGGAAGAAAGGTTCTCGAGTGGCAGCCTCGTACCGGTAGGCGAAGTGTAGGGCGTCCCCCCACGAGATGGAGTGACGACCTGGTAAGACATGCAGGAAGTCGGTGGATGCAGGTGGCTCAGGACCGTGTTTTGTGGCATTCTTTGGGGGAGGCCTATGTTCAGCAGTGGACTTGTGAAGGGCTGTAATGATGATGATGATGATGATGATGAGTGTTTAAGCGGAACTCAATTTGAGACACACTTAATTTTAAGAGATGCTTAAAATTTAAATATGAGAAACGAATATAGAGTTTAGGAGTTGCTCAACTGTTTGACAAGCCGTTAAATATTTGAGGGACATTTCAGTATGCGGGCATTAGTCTCATGGTGTCACAGTCACTTTGACTTAAAGTGATAGAGACGGCACGAAACTTAACAGCATCTTGAAATTGAGCAGCGTTTGAGTATTTGTGCATTATTCTGATAGTTTTATGCTTTGGCGCAGTGGTTAAAAAATCTGCATGAAAAAGTAATTTGCGTGAGTCAGTATAAAACAAGTTCAATAAAAATTATCTAACGCTGCATAAACACAAAAAGACTTAAACAAGCCGTACTTTTCGTACGATTATAAGCGGCTAATCCGAATTTTTCTGGTTTCTTTGAGGGGTTAAAGTCCGTCAAGCAACCCCTCGGCCAAACCGCTAATGCCTAGTTTGAATAACAATACGTATACACGCTATGCCAGTTTTTAATGTTTTAACAATTGCTTTTCCAATATAAAAGAACAAATATTAAATAATAAAAACATTTTATTCAATCTTTGAAGACTCCCAAGAAACAACTCCCGCTTCCTAATCCCAGATGTCCTTTAACACTGTATTTGGTTTAGGTAAAGCTATTAGCGGTCTGGCATTTTTGAGATGCTCCCCATCTGTCGGAAAATCCTGTTATTGGCATTATTGGATGAATTTTACGACCACCCACGCTGCGAGAGAACGATAGATTGCAAAAGCACAACGCGCGACGTACGTGTAATATATTATATTATGTATACATACTACATTATTACAGATACTAACTGTTCCCCGCGACTTCGCCCGCGCGTATTTTATTACGATTGGATTTCATGGGTTTTAATTTTTTGCGCGGAACCCTAATTATTTTTCTAAAATAAAAGTAGCCTAAGATACTTCTTATGACATCAGCTATCTGCCAGTGAAAGTCCGGTCAAAATCTGTCCAGCCGTTTCGGAGATTAGCCGGAACAAACAGACAGATAGAAAGACAGACAGACAAAAATTAAAAAAAATCGTGTTTTGTTATAAGTACCGTATATACTTTAATATGCATAATATGCTTTAATAGCTGTTATTTCGACATTACAAACAGACACTTCAATTTTATTTATTTGTATAGATTAAAGATGTTGTCATTATGTTTTATCATTGCTTTCATTACAATTATAAGAAAAGTACTTACTATTTCAGTTTTAACAAAATCATACAACACTCATCAAAAGTTATATTATTAAATAAATAGAACTTATAGGATCATTTTGTTGTCCGGCCACCGGTCTCTATGTTTTTCCTACCAACGGGTAGAAGTAACAAGTTGGGATTAATATCAAAATAATAAAGTCTATGGATCTTTGAAGGTAGAAAAATTCAAACTTCTATCAAAAGACACGGCCATTTATGTCACATATTTTGATACTCCCGTTAACTTAGAATGATTAAATTTGGCAAGAAGGCCTGGAGAAAAAAAATCCGGAAATCGTTCATTAATTTGTAGTAATCTCTATATAAAAAATCGATTGCTGTGCGTTATTCTCGCTAAAACTCAAAAACGACTGGACCGATTTTAATGAAATTGTTGGTGTGTGTTTCTAGTGGGTACCTGGATGGTTTAGATTCACAATTGGATCCGGTGGGTGACGCTGTTATCGAGATCCACAAATCACCCATACCAAGCCGGGGCGGACCATATAAAAACAATTTTTTTTGCGATTACATACACGTTTCGTTAATAAGCATCGTCCGTGATATAGACCGATTTATGGAAGAACATACTTTCTGAGTTTCATTTAAAGTTTGTCCGTTATATAAAACTTGCAATTTCGTTAAAGCAATATTCGGAGCTTACCTTACCTGTAATTGCCAGGATGGATGAACTATCTACATACATAAATAAGTTGATACGGAATTTTCATGGACCAATTCTTAGTCGAACTTGTCCAATTTTTAAATTGTATCATTTGTGCACTGCAGCCAATAATCGGTAATGTTCTCCTATTTTATTTTTAGTTACAGTATAAGTAAATTAGGTATAAGTATGTGGCGTGTGGAAGGAAAAGGGTAGATCTCCCGCCAGGCAAGGTGTTCTGCCCGTGGAGCGGCCAACGTTCCAAATGGTAGTTCGGAGCTATTCTATATATTATACTGCTTTAACTTCGGAACTTTGTTAGCGCGATTTAGGCTTTGTCGTGTTTCGCCTGTGGCGCGACGACAGTGCCGCCACAAGTACATATATTTTTATTTCATCATGATCAAACTTAAATCAGCTGAGTACAATAACGGTAAAAACGATGTTCGCGGTTGTCGGTTTCGAAGTTAAAAGAGGCACTTCTCAGACCTTAAAAACTAAAAAACCATAATAGGTTTATTCATGAAATTTGGGATTTAAGGTGTTCAAGGGATCTTTATTACATACTAGTGATCCGCCTCGGCTTCGCACTGTTGATTTCTGGATCTCCAACAGCGTCACCTACCGGGTCCAATTGTGAATCTAAACCATCCTGGGACCCTCTCAAACACACACAAGAAATTGCATCAAAAGCGATTGAGCCTTTTCTGACTTTTTGCGAGACTAACGCACGGCAATTGATTTTTTAATTATATTATATAGGATTCAAGGTGTGCAACGTGCCTTTATTAGACATGCATGCAATTATAAGTGTGTAACTCTAATAATTTAAGAGTTACGCGGGGTTTGAAAATGGCTTTGGAAATGGTTCGTGTAAATATACAGAATGCCGTTGCGTCGCACTTTTCTTTTGCGAACATGGCGGACACCCTAACGTGTATATAGATAGTACCATAAGTGTATGGGTAAACATAGCGGTTACTGTCTTAACCACCCTTTGCCTGATGTAAGAGACACAGGAAAACGGAATAAGCACAATTAGAGTTAAAAAAACTATTGCCAAATTGCCGGCCCGGCTGGGTTTTTAACTGACTACTACTCCCATGTCAAAGTCATCGCTCATGTGACAATAACAAAAAATAAACGCACCTGTGCCCTTTCCTGTGCTGTGGCGCGGCGTTGGTGCCGCCAGCGCTCTGTTGTTTCTCGCCTTCTGTCATCTTGCTGCAGCAGTCCTGGTTTCACCGCGCGCCCATACCAATCCTTGTGATGATTCTCCACCTGGTCAAATAAATTTCATTATTAAGTAACCTATAAAACATTACTTTATCATAACTTAACACAGACATGATAGGGATAATACATTATTTATTTAGTTCAAGAAATCTGTCACCTTTCCAACCAAAAGTTCAACCTCACCTGGATGCGTTGTATCAGATGTTAACTATCAGATAAGACTTAACTTGTTACCGACAAATGGCTAGGCATGAGTAATACTACTCTTACTCTATATGAAATCGTAACTATATATTGGATTTAAATATATGATATTGCATCTATATATTTCAATAGGTATCTATTTATCGGTTGATATCTACGTTATTCTGTAAGGAAATCTCAGTATTCAGTACCACACGGTGATACGCGATTTTTGATGGATTTGGTTTGCTTAGATTTATAGATATATTGTAATATCTAAGTATTGGCACAGAATAAATAATAGTTGGTTAATACGAGGGGCACACTGAAATGATCGGCAATAGAATATTTCGGATTGAGTTACAATAAAACCTTTTTTAGAATTTGAATACTGGCCTCTTAGAATCTTAATGACATTCAAACAATTAAAAAAATGTTTAAAAACAAAAACTATGTTGGTTTAAAGTTGACACGTCGTTAACAGAAATGGAGCTCACGCGTGAACATTTCCGTGCCATAATTTATCACAATTTTCGTCGCGGCTTATCTCAAGATAAATGTCTCAGCGAACTTGTTTCGATTTATGATGTTGAAGCACCGAGTCAAACGACAATATACCGCTGGTATGCCGAATTTTGACGCGGTCGTGTGTCTCTCAGCACTGTTTCTTCTGCAGGTCGACCAAGAACAGCGGTCACGCCTGAAAACATCGCAGCTGTGCGAACTATTATAATAGATGACCGTCGTGTGACATACGGGCAGATTCGGGCTGTTATCAGTATCGGAATGACTGCAATTCAGTCGATATTACATAATGAGCTGTGTGTAAGAAAGCTAGTTTCCTGCTGGGTTCCCCACAATTTGTCCGATGAGCAAAAGGCGGCTCGTCTAGATTGGTGCCGGAATACTCTGCAACGCTTCAACGGAGGGAAGTCAAATGCTGTTTATAATATCGTCTCAGATGACGAATCATGGATTTATTCATACGAACCTGAAAGAAAACATCAGTCAACAGTTTGGGTCTTCGAAGACGAGGTCAAACCAACGAAAGTGGTTAGCTCCCGCAGCGTGTCAAAATAAATGGTCGCTACGTTTGTTTCGAAAAAGGGGCATGTTGCTACAATTCCTTTACTGGAACGCAGAACGGTTACCACTGAGTAGTATATCACGGTTTGTTTGCCAGAAATTATAGCCGAATTTCGAAAAAATAACCCGAAACGTCGCATCATCTTACATCGCGATAATGCGAGCTCCAATACGGCTCGGAAGACAAATGATTTTTGAAGCAGGAAAACGTTGAGCTGACGGACTATCCTCCGTACAGTCCTGACCTGAGCCCAAACGATTTCTTTACATTCCCTAGAATGAAAGATTTATTACGCAGTTAACGGTTTGAAAATCCTGAAGCAGCTGTGGAGGCGTACAAATCAGCCATTTTGTCAACATCAACTTCAGTCTGGAATTACTGTTTTAATGAATGGTTTGCACGAATGGAAAAGTGCATTAAGTTGAACGGAGAATACTTCGAAAAACAATAAAATACAATTTAGCTATACCGTGCATGTGGTTTTTCTTATTCCCGATCATTTCAGTGTGCCCCTCGTATCTATGATACTCTGAAACGAGTATATCTTACAACGAATTGTCGAAGTAATTTTTTTTTCAAATATAATCTCTCGTATTCAGTACATCATATTATAGATATTTTACGTTATTATTATTTCTTCGAGTTCAATGTTAGATGTCCTGTGAAGTGAGGCTGTACTGCAGCAGTATCTGAATATCTGATACATAGTCTGGCGCGCTATATGTAGATATTGGATATTCTATTGATATTGAATCTATATATGATTTGTATCGCCCACTCCTACAAATGGCGGTAAATCCGTTTAAAAATGGTACACCCAAATTCTTTATAGGGTCTTTTTTATTTATATGGGAACACCTTATTTTATTTATAAAAAAAAGGATCATTTAAAATTTTGGATCCATCATTTCCGAGAAATCGGTGAATACACATACGTAAAAAAAAACATACGCCTGGAATATAGTAACTTTTTGGTTTTGGAACTCGGCTAAAAGTAAAGCTACAGCCGATATACGAGTACGTCCGATTCTCGGCACTGGTGTCCTCTCATTTCTGAGAGGATTTAAGGGCAAGGATATGTCCACCATGTTTACAATAGAAGTTACAAATTACTATCAAGATAATAGGTATAGCCTATAGATTTGTTACAAATAGCTTCAATGTAATGTTGATATGGGACACGCCGTGTCGCTTCGTCCGCATGTGCCGGTGCCTCCAGCAATGCTCTAATTTTGTCGATGAATCCCCGCAGACGAGTTATTCTTATAAACAGTGTATAATTTACAATGCCTGATTGAATGTACCCATTACCATATTGTGGTGAGATCATTTCCTCTAAAGTATGTTAATGTCGTATTAAAAACCTAATTTCTTTTCTGCATTCGACACAATATAAAGCGAATTCATGATTGATTATAATGATGATGTTTTGCTGAAGGGAAAAATAACCAATCCCATATGTAAGGAAAACAGCAACAATATTTGCTTAAGTCTCTAGTAATCTAATATTTCATCTGTTTGTAACAAGTCTTTTGAAAATAGAAGTCACAAATAATGAAACATATGACAGCTAGGTATTAAAGGTCATGTGTAACGTCCAAGTCACACCTGTGCCGGTAGTTGTTGGGAGCACTACGCTCAAAGTTGTTGATGAGTATGTAAGTAATTCAACCCAGAGATTTATTAATATATCCTACTCGGTGGGACAACGTTCGTGAGATTACAAGTTTTCTTGTCAATTAACCTCAAAACTTGAAAACAAGAATGCACAAAAAGTGCGTGTTGCCAGTGATGCAGTGGCGTAGCTACCCAGGGGCTAGGCACGGCAGTGTCCCCCCGGGGCCCCCAAGCTAAAGCTAAAGCTGGCCCCTCGGCTTCCAAGAACGAAATTCGAGAAATTATGTACTATCCTAGATGTATAAAGAATTTTCGAGTTTTAACTTTTTGGCCCTGACCGCGAACGGCTCGATTTGACATCACAAAAATTACTCCCACTTCCAGAACATAAATAGAATTTTTTATATATATATTCATTGTTAAAGATAATTATCTACTTCGTCTTATTGTCTTTTTTATATAGAAGAGAGGGACAAACGAGTATGCAGCTCACCTGATGGCAAGTGTCGACCATCGCCTATAAACAAATACAACACCAGGGGAAATGCAGATGCGTTGCCGGCTTTTTAAAAAGGAGTAAGCTCGTTTCTTGAAGCTCCCTAAGTAGTATCGATCCGACAGTAGTGCACCGCCAAACATGCCGATGATGTGGATTTGTGAAATGCGTGGATGAAATTTTGTGGCTGGAATTAATCCGAACAATTCCTTTGAACACTCCCGAAAAGTAAATGCGATAGAAAATGCAAAGGGATGCAACATCTCTTCGTCTCGTCTATCGTCTCCATCGGTCGTCGACGATTCGAGCCGCTCTGCGCTAGATGCGGTAAAGTGGAAGGAGCTGGTACTAGGGAGCCCCGGCCCAGGGATGAGAACAGTATTCCATGTTAGCCCCAACCTACCCCTTGTAAAGTTGCAAACAGTGTGCCGGCATAAAATACTGTCCTTTTTAGAGGCCAATTCAGCCTTCCCTTCCAAGTGACCACGAAACTGCACGTTATTAGATATGTCAACGCCGAAGATTTCAATACTGGCTGAGGTAACAAGGTGAGTGCCCTGAAATTGAGCAGTTACGAAAAAGGGGTTATTTTTAGTGGTAAACGCGCAAACTTGTTTAACTTATTTATATACTTGTGTAAACAGCGTAGGTGATAGCACGTAGCCTTGTGGAACACCAGTGTGAATAGGCTTGTAAATGGAGCATGCACCTTCTACTACAATTTTGTTGCTCCAATCTACAAGAAAAATGCTGATCCAGTTGCACAAATTCTCGGGAAGCCCATAGGAAGGGAAAAAAAAGCGCTTTGTGCTAAACCCGATCGAAGGCCTTCGCTATGTCCATACTAACGGTCTGGGTCCCCCTCTCTGCCTCTGCCGATTCATGAGTCAGGTAACCCGGAAGATCACCAGCTGAGCAACCCCGACAGAAATCGTACTGGCAGTCATTTTTCAGTTGGTGATATTCAACCTCATGAGCTGGCAGTTCATAATGGTTTTCATTATTTTGGACAACAAGGGATATATAATAAAGTAATAGGGATCTGGTGCACTAAAGCTGTGTTCTTTGAGTCCGGGACTACGCCTCCGGAGAGTGTTTTAGAAAAGACACGTTAGGACCGGTGCCAACTAGGGAGCACACGTCTTGAGCACAGTGGGAGGAACTCCATCAGGCCCACTAGACTAGGGAGAGTATTGCTATGCTCACCGAGCACTGTGTAAACCGTATAGTACCGACCTGAATGCGAAATTATACTCCTTTTTAACAGCGCTGGCGAAGCACTCCTATCATAGCGCGATGCAATTTTACAGGAGCGTTCAAATCAGGCACCACAGATGATAGGATAAAGAGTCCCATTCCTTGAAGTAAGTAGTATTGGAGACCTGATATCCGTCCGGAGGAGAGGTCAGTAGAAGGTCCAAGTGGAAAGGTGCACGATCCTCCACATCTAGAATCCGCGTATAGGTGAAGAAACCATTTGTGTCGGACCACATGCCAAAGAAAACTCATAAACAGATCTTCCGACATGATCGGTTAAACGAGAACCAATACATTCAGCGCGGTAACCGTTAAAATCACCAAGGATCACGATGTCTACAGAC